ATCTAAGGGTGTTTTTGCACTGCCTCCCTGTGATTCTGCTAGATTCTTCTTTCATACAGAGTTAAAATACAGATGACATGTGAGGATGTTGGCAGAATGGAGTGTGTTGAGTAAGTTAAGCAATCTGTTCTTAGTCTGTTGCCTGACTCTACCAATTTATCAGGGACTAGAAGTCTTTCCTAATGGACCTCAATCTATTACTGCATCATTTCCTATAACACTGGATTCACACTTGGCAGTGACTACTTTTGGTAAAATATGTAATTTTTTATAACTAGACAACTCAATTTCTCTTTCATCCTCTGCTAGAGCCTGGCATTCCAGGTGTCTACTTGTGGAGTTGTGTTAATCAAACTTTGACAATTAGTAAATGATTTATTTGACACCTCATAATTTTAGATCTTGGATCAATCTGGGAAGGCTGTGATTTCATTTCGGTTTGTGTACAGCTGTCGTACAACTTGCTACTGAGGCATATTTGTAGGGATTTGCTGAGTCTATCGTAGATTATTGTAGCAGACTGGGTCCCACAATGGAATGGTGCTGCAGCACAGGTATTTCAAACCTTAAATTATGGACACGAGTAGTTATAGTTTAGTGCACATGTTGAATTTTGCTTTTCAAAGACTTCAGAGAAACAAAGGGTTGGAAACTCCACATTCCTTCTCAAGTCTGTGAATACCCAGTAATGTACTTAAATGTTAAATGTGGGTCATGAGGCTGAGCATCTCTGCTGTCCTTCACACTGACACCCTGGGTTTCATTCAGTAACTTAGATGAGATGCCCACAGGTCAAGGTGTGGCTGTTGTTTTCCCATCACAATTTCAGTTCTTGTATTTATGCTTCTATGTTGCCTTCTAGGGCCTGTCAGAAAAGAAAGGGGACTGGAGCCCTGGATGTGTGTGTCAACACATTATAAAGTCTCGCCTCAAACCTGGCACCTCATATTCTGGAGGGACAGGTGGACGAGCCTTGCAGGGCTGTGGAATGTGTATAGATACCAAAGCTGAAATTAGAACCATCCAGGTCACTGCACTCCAGACATTGGTGCTATGGACGAATGTTTGAAATAAAGAGACCTTTTCCTGAGGCTAAGGAATGTTGTTTTGCAGGTGGTTCATGACATGCCTAGCATATAGGTGATCTAACCCTGAATCTTCCAGGACACATCAGTACTGGTGAGTGCCTTGGATAAGCCTCTTCTAGGGGAGAGAAAAAAGCAAAAAGAAAAAATGCAAGGGTAGAGGGTGACCAAGAGGGCATCAAAGAACAAGGGGGGGGGGGGTTGCAAGGAAGGAACAAGAGGTGCACATGGCAGAATCCTCATGTGCTGTCAGTGGGCTGGCCAGGCCTTACCTATCTATCCTGACTTCCCTGAACTCTGACCTCACCCTTTCCACCCCGCGCTCTGCCTCAGAGCCTTCTCTACAGTTCATCAAGCCCAGCAGGCACAGTCCCTGCCAGGGTCTTAGTACCTGCTGTTTCCTCTGCTGGGAAAGTTCTTCCTGCAGGTGTCCAATGCAGTGGGTGTGGTCTCACCTCATTCACTGTGCAGGGTGCACCTTCCTGGGGCCTTTCCCCGATGACCCTGTTTGAAGTGGTAGCTGGTCCCCTTCCTTGCCTTATTTTTCCCCATACCTATTGCCACCGTCTAATAGGCTGTATCATCTATTTATTCATTTGGTTGCCTGTCTTCTCTTTTGAGAATGTGAGCTCATGAGGGCAAGATTTTTTTCTCAGTGATTGAAATGAATGTAATAAGCCCATGCTCTGCATTTTGGTCAGTACTTCAGGGGTAAGTCTACACCATCTACATCCCTTCATGATGCAGGTGGGCTGATGGGTGGGGTAAGATGATTTCATCTAGTGATTCTCAAATTTGACCAGGCACCAGAATCACCTGGGGGCTTGTTGAAATCCAAATTTCTGGGCCCACCCCAGGGGTTTCTGATTTAGGAGATCTGAGATGGGCCCAAGAATGTGTGTGTGTGTGTGTGTGTGTTTGAGATGGAGTCTCGCTGTTGCTCAGGTTGGAGTGCAATGGCGCCATCTCTGCTCACTGCAACCTTCACCTCCTGGGTTCAAACAATTCTCCTGCTTCAGCCTCCCAAGTACCTTGGATTACAAGTGCACACCACCACACTGGGATAATTTTTCTATTTTCAGTAGAGATGGGGTTTCATCATGTTGAGCAGGCTGGTCTTGAACTCCTGACCTCAAATGATCCACCCACCTCGGCCTCCCAAAGTGCTGGGATTACAGGTATGAGTCACTGTACCCCAGGTGAGGCTGCCACTGTCCACAATGAAGTGTCTGGATCTAATGTGTCCACAGGCACACACAGAAGACTTCTGAACTGTAGATGCTCATCAGTGATGGGCTATTACCTGCTTGCTTTATTTTCCCAGGGCCAGGAAGAACTTATGGAGATGCAGGGCTGCAGGAATTCTGTGCTGACCATGCTGGTCATCCTGGCTGGGCTGGCAGGTAGGGATCGCCTGAGCTTGGTGGGCTGTTCACTGACGTCCACGTGGGGCATTGGGGGAATTTCGTGTTTAGGGTTGGATGCCTCTTGTTTCATCTGAAGGTCAAATCAAAGTCGAGGAGGGGTGCAGCTCCCGCCTTCCTCCTTTGCACCTCTCATCTGCAGAAGAGGGTTATGTGGCCTGCACAGATTGTATGATTTCTGTAGTGACACATGTGGCCTCTGGAGTACATGAAGAGTGGCCTTGGAATGACATAAGTTCAGCACTTCACACAAGGCCCTGGAAGGAACTGTAGTTTCAGAGGGATGCGTGTTCTGTTGGCGTTGTGTGGCCCAGGCTTCTCACAGGGCAAGCCTGGGGCTCACACAGCCCATCATCCCCACACTCACCCTGCTGGGCTCTGTCCACTAGATGGCCAGGGACTGAGGCAGGAGTGCAGGAAGAGTGTGGTTATTACAGCATGGACCCTCGAGGCACAGACTGGGCTTATTCTCTTCTTCTTAACATGCAATTCAGAGTCCATGGAAAGGGCCCTGTGGCTTCCCTGGGGGGAATTGTTTCCAACTTCCATTTCTCAGACTTAAAGATCAAAGATCAAAGAGATCTTGGCTCAGAAAGGCTTGCCTGAGGTCAGGGAGAATACCTAATCTGAGAGTTGTGTTTTAGAGTCATGCTTTTTTTTTTTTTTTTTTTTTTTTTTTTTTTTTAATCACGTCCAGGGACAAAACAAAGAGTAGTAATCCTGTTTATCCAAACTCTGGCTTCGCCTTAGTGAACTCTCTCCTTCTTTTCTACCTCTCCCAAGCCGGTGGGCCCCCTGCTCAACCCTGGCCTCCTCGCTTCCTGGTCCTGCTTCTGCAGGGGCCTGTTCCTGGTGGCGACTTCCTCCTTCCCCTGCACCTGTTGTTCTAGAGGGGCAGCTCTGCTCCCACAGTGAACCTGGCTATGCAGGCGAAGTGCGAAGTGCTGCTGCGTGTCCAACGGTGTGATTCCTCCCCAGAAGCCTTTAGGGCTGTAAGGGTAGTTTTTCAGAACCTGCCTTGCCATTTTTCTATTCTTTTTTTGAGACAGTCTTGCTCTGTTTCCCAGGCTGGAATGCTGTGTCACAGTCTCAGCTCACTGCAACCACTGCCTCCCGGGTTCAAGTGATTCTCTGCCTCAGCCCCCTGAGTGCTGGGACTACAGGCATCCACCACCAAGCTTGGCTAATTTTTATACTTTTAGTAGAAACGGGGTTTCACCGAGGCTGGTCTCAAACTCCTGACCTCTGGCCCTCTACCCGCCTCGGTCTCCTGAAGTGCTGGGATTACAAACGTGAGCCACCGTGCCCTGCCTGCCTCGCCATTTGCCTTTACAAGGCGGAAGGAAAGGGAGGAGCTGCAGTGTTTCGGGCTACCTAGTGTATGTGATGGTAGGCTGCTTGGTCCACCCACGGGGATCCCACAATGGCAGAAGGTAGTGGGACATGTTGCAGTCTCACTGACGTGGTGGGTGACAACAAGAAGAAGCCACAGTGTGTGGTCTGCCAGGGCGTCTTCTTGCTATAAACTCTGAATGACATCAGAAGGAAAAGAGTATGAAATTCAGAGTGGGGAAGTCTGAGTTTGGGTCCCAGCCTCACTACTGTGAATGCAAATCCTGGGATGTTGCCAGTTGGCAGAAGTTTTTTTTTTGTTTGTCTGTTTGAGACAGAGTCTCACACTGCCACCCGGGCTGGAGTGCAGTGGCACAATCTTGACTCACTGCAACCTCTGGCTCCTGGGTTCAAGTGATTCTCCTGCCTCAGCCTCCTCAGTAGCTGAGATTACAGGGGCCCACCACCATGCCCAGCTACTTTTTTGTATTTTTAGTAGAGACGGGGTTTCACCATGTTGGCCAGGCTGGTCTAGAACTCCCAATCTTGTGATTTGCCCACCTCAGCCTCCCAAAGTGCTGGGATGACAGGCATAAGCCACCGTGCCTGGCCGGGCAGAATTGTTTTTTTATGGAGGCTCTGAGGAAAGATATTCCATGCCTGTTCCTTAACTTCCGATGTGGCTCCAGTCCTTGTCATCCCTTGGCTTGTAGTGGCATCACTCCAGCCTGCGTCCATCCTCACATGGTGTTCTTCTCTGCAGGCCTCTGTGCCTCAAATCTCACTCTGCCTTTCTCTGATAGGAACACCTGGGATTGGATTTAGGGCCCATTCTAAACCCAGGTTGATTTCATCTTGAGATCCTTACCTAATTATATCTGCCAAGACCCTATTTTCAAAGGTTTCATTCTGAGGATCCAGTAGACATGAGTTTTGAGGAATACTATTTAACCCAATACAGCTGAAGAGCTGGTGGAAAGGAGGGTACAGCAGTGGCTTCTACTGGAAGCTCCTGGTCTGCCCGGGAGAGCTGGTGTTAGGATCCAAAAGACACAGAGTCTGAGCCACTGGATGGACGTCCCAGGGGTTACCACCAGTAAATACAGAAAGGCTACAGCACACAGTTGATTTATGGAGATCCATTCACTTGCCAACTTGAAAAACTGGCTGCTTTCCAGGTTCTGGATCTGGTTATGGAGTCATAGAAGGCCCCCAAAACGTAACAGTCCTGAAGGGCTCCCAGGCTCGCTTCAACTGCACTGTCTCCCAGGGCTGGCAGCTCATCATGTGGGCGCTCAATGGTATGGTGGTGCTGAGCATCCGGCCCACGGAGCCCATCATCACCAATGACCGCTTCACCTCTAAGAGGTATGACCAGGGCGGGAACTTCACCTCGGAGATGATCATCCACAACGTGCAGCCCGGTGATTCAGGGCACATCACGTGCAGCCTCCAGAACAGTCTCCTGCATGGGTCTGCTTTCCTTACGGTCCAAGGTGTGTATGCAGGTGGCTTCCAAATGCAGCGTCTGAATTCTATCGGGTTAAATGTCAGAGGGCAGGAAGGACCTTCTAAAATTCATGCCATGTATGACGGCAGATGTGGTCTACCTTCAGTTGGTGTTGACCTACTATTATTCTGAACTGATGAATATGAGGTTCTTCCTTTTGGCACCTCACAGTGTTTTGTGGATCCCAGCAGACTCTCTCCAACATATTTCTGTGCCCTGCTCCCAACTACAGTAGGAGAGTCCTTATAGTCAAAGTTTTGTGTTCTCCAAATATATTGAGTCATTGAGAGAAAAGAAAAGGGTAAACAAAATTTATAATAGCTTATTTTTCATTTTTAGAGTTAATTTTGGGGTGCTGAAGATAATGTTACATAGTAAAAAAACGTAAAAGATACTTTACAAAGATTTGGAATAGTCTTACCAAAATTTAATCACTTTGCATTCTTTAAAAGTGTGTTTATACTCCATTTGAAGCTATAGAGTTCCTGATTTCTATGGCAGCATTTCTTATAAGAGAAGATATTATATCTTAGAAATTATTTCTTATATCTATGTATTTACTTGTCAGGAAGAAATTCCCAAAGATTCTGTCCATATTCATTTTGCTATCAAATCAGATTTGATAACATTTGGTGGAGACATGTCTACCTATTTCTATTTGTGTTTTAAAAAATGATTCTTTACTTTAGAAATTTAGCTAAATTGGTGTGTCTCTAATTTTGCTTTTAATTTTGTGTAGTTTAATTAGGGACACAATGATATTTTCTAAATAAGTGATTTTATGAGGCTATTTAGGACTATTGGCCTATTTTGCATGACCAGATTCTTACTATGATAATTTGTGATATACGGGAAAGAATACAGGAAAAGAGAATCAAAAATATAAATTCTGGTTTTGGCTTCATCAGTTGTCTATCAGAGAGACCCCTGAGATGGCTCAATTTCTTCATCTTTATCCTGGAGATGAACCTTCCCAGCCCACCTCATGGGCTTGCTGTGTGGATCAGGTGAAAAAATGACTAAGGATGATTTGATGACTCCAAAGGCCTGTCTGATTCAACTCCCTGCACATCAAGTTGGGAGCCGGAGTAATCTAGGGGTCAGGAGTGCAGACTTGGGGCTTGGCTGCCTGGGTCTGTGTTACTGCTTTATGACAATGTGTGACCCTGGACACAATTACTTAATGACTTTGAGTCCTAGCGTCCTCATCATGGGCTGCCGTGGTGTCAAATGAGTAGGTCTGTGTAAAGCCTTTCCCGACCCTGGCTCGTAGCAATCATTGCATGGCCATTTGCTATTATTTATTATGCTCCCAATAAAAGCATGCCCTTGTGTTGGGTATTTAAGAGTGACTCAAAGAGGAATAGAATAAGACACAGTTCCTTTCTTTTAGAGCCTCATGAGAAGAGTGCATAAGGCAAGCTGCACAAATAATAGGGATGCCAGCCACCCAGATGCTGGCAAGTCAGATGGAAGGAGAAGGTCAGGTTCCCATTGGGAGGGGAGCTGACGGAGTCGGCAGAGCCTTCGTGGGTGAGTTCATGGAGAAGGTGCCATTGGAGATGTGCCTTCCAGGTCTGCAGGTGGTAGACAAAATGGGAAAGCAAGAGAGGAGAGGGGCATGGGTCGGGGAAACACAGGATCGCAGGCGTGGCTTCTTATTCCTACACTAACGACACATCACATTCAGAAACCATGTGGTTTTGTAGCATCTTTTCCCAAAGTTACAAGTCTACAGATTTGTCTGAATACCCATAACATGCCTTTTTATATGTTGGTAATTACGGTAGTTTTTGGTTTTAATACAGATGGAAAAGCAAGCATCTAGAGAAGGCAAAGACTTCTCCAAGATATTGCGAGAGGAACCCATAGAGCTGGGACAGAACTCCATCCTGGTATCCTCGTCTCCTTGCTCTGAATGGCACTTAGTTCCTAGAGGAGCAAATGTTCTCCTAGCAACAGGGTCTCCCTCAAGGGAGAAAAAATCTTGAAAAAAGAGGAAATAACCATGAATTATTCTATGATTTTTTTCCCCCTCATTATATGTCAACAAAATAGAGATAACATAACTCCAAATTGAGTCATCTGAAATCCTTGTGAATATTCTAGTATCACTTTTGTATAAAGTGTTTGTCATGCTACTGCATAACCTTTATGAAAGCCAGTGGGGAAAAGTGAAATCCCAATTGTATACAGAAAAAGGAAATCCTGTAGGTTGCTGAGCTGGTCCACTTACTGCCTTATCCACCAACTAATAATCACACACCAAACTCTAGACCTCTTATGTTCTGAGGGCCTCAAGGACTTGAGTTCAAGAGCTTCTGTTATTAACTGAGGCAATATCGTTCTTCCCAGCTCTGACATCTGAAACCACCCCTCTGTCAAACAAAACAACAAACACAAAACCCTTTAGACTTTAGGGACAAACCCTTTCTCCACTCCTTGTTGCATTTACAGTAGCCTTGAATTAGCAACAGTGCCTCTCTTATTCCAAGGGAATATTCAGGAAGGAATAATTGGGAAGCTAATATTTCAGGGAAAAAAAAAAGTCTTTCAGAGCTAACCCACTTCACAGTAGGCAGGGGACTCCTAGGCATACCTTTAGATCCTTTCAGGGTGGTTTGTGAAGTCATGATTGTTTTTATAACAATATGAAGATTTGTATTATTGCTGCCTTTTTCACAAGTGCACAGGAGAGCTTTCCACTGTACATTGGGAAGGTCTGCATGACTCAGCAGAGCAGCCTTGCAAATGGCTGAAGTGTAACAAAATCATGCAAGGGCAAAAGGTCCATTCAACCTGCCAGATAGTGCAGTGGATTTTAATGTAACAGAGAATGAAAGTTCCTTGATAGAGTTTCAGATTCCATTGTGTAACAAACATTTAAGAAACCTCAGCTGGGAATGGTGGCTCACGCCTATAATCCCAGCGTTTTGGGAGGCCCAGGCGGGCAGATCACTTGAGCTCAGGAGTTTGAGACCAGCCTGGGCAACATGGTGAAATTCTCTCTCTTAAAGAAAAAAGTGCTGGGCGCAGTGGCTCATGCCTGTAATCCCCGCACTTTGGGAGGCTGAGGCACATGGATCACCTGAGGTCAAGAGACCAGCCTGACCAACCTGGAGAAAGCACATCTCTATTAAAAATACAAAATTAGTCAGGCGTGGTGGTGCATGCCTGTAATCCCAGCTACTTGGGAGGCTGAGGCAGGAGAATCGCTTGAACCCGGAGGCAGAGGTTGCCGTGAGCCAAGATCATGCCATTGCATTCCAACCTGTGCAACAAGAGAGAAACTCCATCTCGAAAACAAACAAACAAAACAAAACAAAAAGAAAAAGAAAAAAGTAAGCTTTGGTAACAGTATTCAAGAATATCCACAATTACCTGAAAAAGCTATTAAATACTCCTCACTGTTCCAACTACGCATCTGTGTGAAGTCAGGTTTTCTTTACATCCTTCAAACAAAGCAGTATATTGCAACAGACTGAAGAAACAGCTATAAGGATCCAGCCAGACATTACAGAGATTTGCCTAAGTATAAAACAATATCACTCCTCTTATTTTTTTTGTTTAAAAGTGTAATTTATTTTCATGAAAATATGTTAATCAAAATTAACACGTAATAAATTATTTTAAAATATATATTTAAAATAATTGTTTAATTCTAATTTCAAATATGATAATTATTACTAGATAAAATCCACATAAATGAAAGGTCTTTGGAGTCCTCAATGATTTTGAAGAGTATAAAAGGTACTGAAACCAAAGTATTTGAGAACTGCTGATCTGCTCAAACAATCTCATTCAGTAAGTACAAAAAAGAGAGCCAAAAAAATTCAGTGACTTGCCCAAAGGGCTGACAATGTTCTGGCAGAGCCCGTATTGGAAACAGATTTTTTGCTTCTTAGTCCAGTATTCTTTCCATTATGTCATGTGGCCCAGTGTTTCAGCATGTTTTCGCTTGGAAATTTCTCTGTCTCTCTCTCTCTGTAATATATATATATATATATACATTTCACTAAGGCTGTGTCTTTACTGGACCAATCCACAGGTTGTTTAGTAATACCTGTGAAAACAAGCATTATTTTCACATGCGTTATCTGCAGTGTGAATACTGACTTATGCAAGAGTGTTCTAAAAAATACAAAATAGCTTATCTAAGCTATTCTGATACATGATTGGGGTTAGCTATTTCTGTAAAGATTAGATTGGATTTTGATTTAATTTGTAATGAGAAACCTATGTTAAGGCAATATCATAGGAAGTTATGTTTAAGACTATATGACCCCAGAAATAAATAAAATGTATCTAATTGACCAAAACTCCTGGGGAGACTTGTGTCCCACCCTGGGCTGTGTCCTCCTCACAGTGAGAAGGTGAATCTCGTTTCTCTTTTTCCCTTCGCTCCCTGGGCAGCCCCAGATAATTCTGTAGCTCCTTCAGGGGTTGCGTAGCCTCTTATGGCATGCACTCCCTTTTCTGTTTCCCATATCATGATTTCCCCCTGGTTTCTGATTTTTATGAAGCATTTTCTATGTAACTTTGTGTTTTCTTGTGAGCAACCTCACCTTCTTCAGAGACCGTAGCAGGTGAACAAAAAAGACTCAGATAAAATCTGAGTTAAGATCTCCTAGCAGAGATACAGCCTCTTTGGGCTTGGGAAAATAGGTCTCACAAAGTGGGATTTGAAGCAAAACTTTAAAAAAAGAAAGAAAAATAAAACCTAGAAGTGAGAGGCACGGTCATGTGTTCAGTGTGTTTCTCTCTTTTCTTCTTTAGTTATGGGAGAGTTGTTCATTCCCAGTGATAATCTTGTAGTTGTTGAGAATGAACCTTGTAGAGTTACTTGTCGAGCCTTGAACTGGCCCCTGCTCCCGGATATGTTCTGGGAGCTCGGTGCCCTGGTCAGCCATTCAAGCTATTATTTTGCTCCGGAGCCCAGCGACCCTCAGAGTGCAGTGAGCATCCTGGATCTGATCCCACAGGGCAATGGGACTCTGACTTGCGTGGCTACCTTGAAGAGCCTGCAGGCCTCCAAGTCTGCAACTGTCAATCTCACTGTGATGCGGCCTCACCGAGGTAAGTGAAGACTTTCTGCTTTATATGAAATGAATGATTCTTTCATGCTTAAATCTTATGTAGAATGCTGCTTCATCCACAATGGCTGGAGCAATCATATGGCGACTTTGATTTCGGGTAGGGGCGATAAGGCGAATCACATCTGCTGTCAGCTTCATAATCCTGTACCCTCATTGGCTTTTTAAATTCCATCTTTAAGGTTTTTCTCTCTCCCTCTCTCTCTTTTTTTAAATAACATTTGAAAACCATTTAGAATCTTGGCAATTGTTTATCATCAAAGAACATCAAGTTTGGAGACAAATACTTGAATTAAACATTTTTTCTCTAGCTTTTACCCGCCACTGTTTCAGCTCGATCCCACCCCCTGAGCCAGTATGAAGCAGGTCCTCATATTGGAGGAAGGTGTTCAGGTCTCCCTGGATTTCTTCCAATCTTGGTGGAACTATAATGCTTCATTTTTTTTTTTAACCCAGCAAATCCACAATGTATTTGAAAGTGTCAAGCCTGTATGTATAGTTTAACTTGACTAAGTGACATGACTTTAAAGCTCAGATCCCCCTAAAGAATCTGCTGTGGGATTTTTGGCATACCAGAAACTCTAACCACATTCCTTGAAAGGGCCCATACAGCCTGTGAGCTTCGAGTCAGCCTGGACAGGGTGGACCAGGGGTGCTGGAGATCGACTGTAACTTAACATTTTACAAAAGAGGAAGCAAGGCCTGGAGAAATTCTGTGCTTCCCTCTGGGTCACATGCCACAGTGGTAGAGCTGGGCCTAGAAGCTGAGAAGAGCTTTTCTTCTCATCTGAAGCTTTTCCCACCATGACAGCATCTTCACCTGAGATCTTCCTAAGTTCAGAACAAAGCCACAGCCAAAGCTGAGTAATAATAATAACAACAATAAGAAACAGCACTCTACAGCACTTACCAAGTTGTCAGGCACTGTTTTGAGCACTTCTCAAATACTCACAGAATTAACCTGCTTGACAGCTGTATGAGTGAGTGCTGCTGTTATTCCTATTCTAAAGGCAAGGTAACAGGGACAGTGCTGTTGGGATTTTGCCCACATCTGTAGAGGGAGTAAATGTCAGGGCAACCCAGGCCGTCTGTCTCCAGAAGCTGCTCACCTGGAAACACTGCCCGCTGTGTGAGCAGCCACGTGGAGGGTATATGAGGGCCCGTGGCTGTCGTAACAGGAGACCACAGGCTTGGCTTAAACAAGAGAAACGGATTTTCTCCCAGTCCTGGAGGTTGGAAGTCTGAGATCACGCTGTCAGCCAGGCTGGTTCCTCCTGAGAGCTGCAAGGGAGCCTCTGTTCCTTGCCTCTCCTCTTGTTTCTTTGTGGTTGCTGGCCATCTGCCACCTTCCTTGGCTAGTAGAAACATCGTCGTCATCTCTGCCTTCAACTTCACTTGGTGTTCTTCCATTTTTTTTGGGTCTTTTCTGAGACAAACATTTATGAACATTTTGTACAGGTTGTTTTTGCAAGATGCCTGTCAATTTGGATTTGTCTAAAATTTTCAACATACTTTGATTTAGGCTACATATTTTTGGCAAGATATAGGTAATGTCATGTGGTCACAGGATGACAATTTTCACTAACATGGGTCTAAGTTTGACCCTTTGGTGAAGGTGGCATACCCTGAATTTATCCATCATAAAAGTACCTTTTTGCCTTTATAATTCACATGTGATCAGTAGGTATTGCGGGAATATCCTGTTCACCCACAGTCTTTCACCTAACAAAAAATTTTTTTTCAAACTTTTAAGTTTAGGGTTATACATGCTGGTTTGTTATATAGGTAAACTCACGTCACAGGGGATTGTTGTAGAAATTGTTTTATGACCTAGGTACTAAGCCTAGCACCCATTAGTTATAATTTCCTGCTCCTCTCCTTCCTCCCACCCTCCACCCTCAGATAGACCCCAGTGTCTGTTGTTCCCCTCTGTATGTCCATGTGTCCTCATCATTTAGCTCCTACTTATAAGTAAGAACATGCAGTGTTTAGTTTTCTGTTCCTGCATTAGTTTGCTAAGGATAGTGACGCCCAGCTCCATCCATGTCCTTGTGAAGGAGATGATTTTGTTCCTTTTTCACCTACTAACTTTTACATTCATTGATAAATCATTGCCTGAATCAATGACGTCTACAGTGGTTGTCAAGAGTGATTTTCTGCTTCCATTATTCTTTCTGTATCTAGTAATTGGCTTTCTTTTGTTAAACAAGAGACTTCTCTCCCCTTTCTTCCTTTTTCTTTTTCGTAGTTTTAGTAGGGACTCAGTTTTGTTCAATACACTGTAATCTGTTCCTGTCATTTTTCACTGTGACACTCAGATTGCTGCAGACTTGGCCATCAGTGTCCCTTCAAGCTGTGCTGGCATCCTTCCAACATCCCCCTATCAGTTTCTGTGCACCTGGACCCGTAAGGTCTTCCAGACTCACTTTGCATTCCCAAGTCCCCGCCTGGAATCAGTCATTTCTCCAGGGAGCTAGCCTTAAATATCATAAGTTAGTCTACTTAAATATGATAACGTATGGTCCAGGCTTTGAAAGAGAAGATTCTTAAAAATTCCATTAGCACCAAATGGAATAAAATGTACTGTTTAAAGCATATATCTTAACAAGGTAATGACACAGCAGGAGTTCTGGCCTGTTTGATGGTACCTTAGAGAGATGGATTTTAGTGACTGGCTTGCTGGCAAATGTTTTCTCTTCATGGTGGAAGGGAAAGGGAGCAATTTCTTAATTTCCCTTGATCAGGTTCAACTCAGCTGAATTCTTCTTAGACCAAGACTGGTGCCTTAATGACAGCAGGCATGACGGCTGGGAGAGGGAGGCCCAGAGGGTGCTTGCAATGAGTCTAACTTCATTGGACTCAGTTGGAAAAGGGTAATTTGTTTCTAAATTATTCATCAAGAGCCAGTGAAGCTGGTGGCTGGCTGCATGTTGTGTGTTTTATGTAAGTTTTTTTTTTTTTTTTTTTTTTTTTTTTTGAGACAGAATTTCGCACTTGTTACCCAGGCTGGAGTGCAATGGTGCGATCTCGGCTCACCGCAACCTCCGCCTCCTGGGTTCAGGCAATTCTCCTGCCTCAGCCTCCTGAGTAGCTGGGATTACAGGCACGCGCCACCATGCCCAGCTAATTTTTTGTATTTTTAGTAGAGACGGGGTTTCACCATGTTGACCAGGATGGTCTCGATCTCTTGACCTCGTGATCCACCCGCCTCGGCCTCCCAAAGTGCTGAGATTACAGGCATAAGCCACCGCGCCCGGCTTTATGTAAGTTTTATTAGCTGAAGACCTCACTGAAGCCTTGGCTGGCAGAGCTGGTGACTAGACGAGGCTGTAAGGAGCACAGCCAGGTTTCCAGAGAGCCGAGAGTTAAAGGGGCTGTGCCCATTCAGGCTTCCTCAGGAATCAGATAAACATCAATTTTTCCACCCATTTCCTAAAAGTGCAAAGCATTTGTTTTAATTTCTGAAATGGTCCCTACAAGGCATTGAAAGAAGAATGACGTCAGCTTTGGAGGCCTATCCAATCAGGGCAAGCCACGGGGTTGTATGAAATACTTTCTGGTTTATAGTTCAAAAGGTTTCTTTAGAGAGAAGCATACTGGGAGGGCTAACGCTCGCTTCAGATCTGTTTTTTAGAAATTGATTTTCTTAACTACAGAAGTGATACAAACCTCGAGCACTGCTGATGTATCCAGAACTAGAGAGTGAGGCCCTCTCACCCCATCTTGGGAGATGCACTGTTAGAGCCACCTGCCTCTCGGGGTGGTTTTCTCCGTGCACTTACTTGGGGGTAGGATGTGAAATGGTTAACATGAAGCAGTGTTTTTAGGACACATGAGCACCTTGTAGAATGTAGTGAATCCTGGTCATAACCTTACTATTTTGAGAAATGGCAATTTTGGGCTCAGAGAAGTGTAGTAGAAGTGACAGTCCTGGGCTTTTCCTGTGGAACTGATGGTGCAACTTTGGGCAAGTCAGCAACCTTCCGGGCTCAGTTTTCTCACCTGTGAAGTGGGTGGGAGAAGAATAGAGAAGTTCTCTCTCCTGGCTGTGGGTCAGAGCCAGCAGAGAAAGCTTCTTCATAAATATGTGGAGGCTCGGGTCCCTCCTGGGGGTTTACTTTCATTGGTTTTTGTGGAGCCTGGGAATTGCAATTGTAAAAAAAAGTTCCCAAATTACTCTAATGGGCAGCCAGGATTTGGGGGCTACTGAAACTGAAAAAATCTCTAAGGCCTGGGCTTCCCATCCAGCCCGATCAAGTGCTATGTCTATACAGACTTGGACATGAGACAGCCTGGGTTCCAATCCCAGCTCACCCAATCACCAGCTGTGTGTTCCGGGCAAGTTACTTACCCTCTCTGAACCTCAATTTTAGAACAGTCCTTGCCCCAGAGCATACAAGACTGGAGAGAGAGTGATTGTTCTCATTTACAGTGTTAATTCGGAGATCTCCGAATTAACCTGTGGGCACAGGGGTGTGCTTTGCACACGATTGATGGTGATGACATTTGGTATTAATATGTACCTGGCCCATGTTGGTGGTGACATTTTATATTAATACATTTGGTTTCAAGAAATTCTATACCCTTTTAAAACTCTATGTCTTCCTTTGAGAGCATCTGGGAAATGCTATTTTCCTTTTCTTCACAGATGGGGAAAGGACAATCTCCCAGTGGAGACTAAAACACATGGTAGAGTCAGTTATGGGGCCCTAACAAGCACACAGAGGTGTGAAGGAGCGTAGGGAGACAGGCAAGCAGCGTGAACCTTGGAGCTAATCTTCCTTAGTCACCGAGTATGGGTTACTCAGGTATACTCATCCGCTCCAGCAAAGCCACCATTCCCCTTGAGCCAGGCACACCCACACCCTCCATAGGGTACAAGGCACAGACCAGCACCCCGCTGTTGACTTTATGCAAATATATTTATGTCATACCTGGGCCATATTTTCCTCAGAAGGATTATTCTACATTGGAGACAAAGCATGGCAGTATGGAAAGATACAAGCCAGGGGCCCTGTGGCTTCCTGTTTTGGGCTCCCTGTGCCATTTACTTAATTCATCTCTGTGAGTGTCTTGTCTGCATGATGAAAAGATTGGATTGTAGATGAAATCATTCCAAGAGTCTGTATTTTCTGTCCACTGTCAGATTTCTGATTTGTCCATAATATACGGCTATGATCTATTTTTCAATCTACAGTAAATGCACTCTTTTTAAAAAAATTAGCCTCATACTAAACAGAAATATCCATGCATGTGTGTATACCTATGAATATATATATATATACACACACACACACACATACACACATATGTTATATATGATAAATTTTATAAAAATAAGAAAGGTCTATCTGTGTATCTCCAGCACTAAATATGCCTCTTGCTGACTTGTACATTATTAAAGCACCATGTGCTTTAATCTCCACTTGGAGATTTGGGCTCCACTGGATTAAAGAGAGACCTCAGTCTCACCTAGGCATAAAACTCCTTAGAAAATTCGCCTTCCAATGGAGGGTGGTCACAACAAATAAGAAGCGAAAGAGTAAGTGATGTGGTTCCTAATACCGGCTGCCGTTTTGGTCAGAATTTGGGGCTTTTGACTGAGCGCAGGCATCACTTTCCGGACTTTGTGGTTAAATTAAGGGACAAAGAGTGTTTAAAGTCCCTCTGGCCCTCAGTCTCTCCCTTGATTCAGTCACCACCCCCAGCAAAGTGTCCCTTCCCTTACGCTCCCTAAAAATAAGGCAGGTTCTCTCTGTCTAGATTAGAGGAAATGTAATGTCCAGACTCAAGAAGGTTGGCGCACTCGTATTCTCTGTGGTAGGAGAAGAAAAGTCTTCTGATAGGGAGTGTGTGAGTAAGTTAATAAGCATGCTGTCTTATGCCAGTGAGAATTTCAAGCTTATTTCTTAAATCTTGAGCCAGACCTTAATGGTTAAGCCCAGTCAGCTCCCTTTTAAGAAAGCTTGTTACATTTGCAAACTTCAGTTGGTAAGAGTCCGTTAGACTGGAAAGAGGATGGCCACTGCCATCTTGAACCCGTGTGTTGTAGCTTACAGCTTTCTCAGAACTTTTACACACACCCCCGAACAGCCTGGTGGGACAGGAGTTGTTACTGGGTGAGCCAGAGCTAAAGGCAATGCAGCGAGAAATGCTGGTCATGAGATTTGACTGGTTCCATCCACAGGAAACCTAAAGCTCTTACTGAGTCACAAAGCTCCCACACAGTGGTCCAACTTTCAACTCAAGAGTGCGACAATCGTTGAGGCAACTCTGGACTTCGTTGTTTTGCTATCACACCTGTGGGAGGGAGAGTGTGAGCGCATCCTGTCATGTCGTGGGTAGCTTGGGCAGGTGTTTACATCTTGGCTGCACACAAGGGATTCCCAAAATGTGGGTCACCAACTATCTGCATCAAAATCACTTGGGGTATCATTCCAGATATCCTGACTTTGTGTCCCTGGAGGCGGGCTTTGCAATCTGCATGTGCAATGGTATTCCAGGTGATGCTTGGGATTCTGCTGTCTGTGGAGCAAGGGGATAAATGTGCTTGCTGCACATGAAGGGTCTGGCTTGTGTTACTGCTTCAACTCTGGGGGTGGGAAGGGTGTAATCTATTCCTTCCCTCTTCACCATTTTTGGGAGAACACTTTACAAGTCTTTATCTGTTCCAGCTCATCTCAGATGGTGGGAGATGTGGAGATAGCATTAGGAAAGTAGTTTGACTTTCTTATAATCCTACAGTTCTTCTCTGGGCATCTTCACTGTGGGGAGAAAGGTGAGCCCTAGATCTGGTTCAGCTGCAGTTGACTGCCTGGTGCATAGACTTCTCTTCTCCATGTAGAGTCAGAAGAGAACTGTCTCTTAATCTGTCTCTTTATCCATTCATCTATGCACCCATCCACCACTCACTCAGCTCATTCATCCACCCATCCATCCACCCACCCATCCATCCACCCATCCATCCACCCATCCATCCACCCATCCATCCATCCATCCATCCACCCACCCACCCATCCATCCATCCATCCATCCATCCATCCATCCATCCATCCATCCTATATTAGTCTGGTTTCTCTACAGGGACAGAACTAATAGGAGATATATATAGATATATAGATATATATATATCTCCTGGCTGCACTGGCAGCTGATTAGATGGTGCCCACCCAGATTAAGGATGGGTCTGCTTTTCCCAGCCCACTGAATCAAAAGTTAATCTCCTTTGGCAACACCTTCACAGACGCACCCAGGGTCAATACTTTGCATCCTTCAATCCAATCAAGTTGACACTCAGTATTAGCCATCACGTATCCATTGTTCCCGATATGTGCTTGGGAGGTAAGAAAAGTAAGACATAGCCCTTGACCTTGAGGGGACTCAGTCCCCAGTTTAGACAGTAGCAGGTATATACAGGAATAAATGAAAGCAACAATTGATTTCATAGACATTTGAGATGGCAATGAATATGAGATGTTAAAAAAAAGGAACTGTCAAAATTATTTGACATTTCTTATAAGAAAAATTTAAAAATCCATCTCAGGTAATGCAGATAAGCTTTTCAAGAAGGGCAAAAGACAAGTATCTTTTTATATTGTGTAATTCGCCAAAGCACAGAGTTCTCTGAATTTAAGCACTTGTTTTTAGACATGTCTCTGAGTTAGTCTGCAATTGATTCCTTGCTAGCCCATGAGTTAGCACCAAAGTAGATGATAATTATAGACACCAGTGCATGAATGATTATCTGTAATCACTCCTGCAACTTATTCTGAGCATTTACCTTTGACACAGGAATAGCAAACTACTATTGCAAGGTCAATTTTCAAGGAAAATTCTAAGGAAGAAACATCTAAGAGCTGATTTTCAACTCTAGTCTCTGGTTCCAAAGTGGTGGATGGCCATTGAGTTCAAAGCAAACCCCATGTTCCTTCATAGGAAGTCTTCTGTTTCAATATTCTCTAATGACTAGTTCCAATATTTTCTAAAGAAATAGCATGTATTTGCATTAAGACACCACCCAAGCATGCAGGGTTGAGTGACAGCCTTTTGTTAAATAACAATTCACGATTAAACAGATCAACTTACATGTGCGTGGTTTGGCTTCAGAGTGGTGCGGTGGGGAGAAGTGCAGTGCTGAATGAGGACCCTCTTGGGAACATCAGTGTAATTCCCAAACTGTCCCTTTCTGCGATGATAAAAATGTTCTACATCTGTGGTGACTGAGCACTTGGCTGGTGCAACTGAGGCACTGAATATTTAATGACACGTATTTTTAATTAACTTAAATTTGAATTTGGATAGTCATGTGAAGCCACGGCAGCTCTGGCTAAGACATGGTGGAAGAGAATCAGAATGGCTTTTTCCTCTCTCCTCTCCCCACATCCCTCTTGCTTCCTGATTGCTCTGTCTCACCTTACCTTTTTGTTCTCTTACCTCCAACTACTGGGTAAAATAAGAGGCCAATGAACGCACTAAGGAAGGTGCCTCCTGAAAAGCTATGGAAAAAGCAATTGCTGCGTGAGGAATAAATTTGAGGGTCAGCGGCTGGGGTGAAAAGCCATGAACCATAGTTCCTTCAGAAGTGACCCTCCCTCAAAATGTCCTGTTTTTTTTTTTTTTTCTGGGCTCTGGGCTCCCAACGAGTGGGGACATAGAAGGGAGAACAAAACGTCTTTATTCCAGTCTTGTCCAGCAGTAGTGCTCAAAAGTGATTAAAGGATGTCAAATGTGACCCCCTACTATGCCAGCCTTAGTGCATTGTCAGCCCAGCCCTGCCTTATCTACCTCTCAGGGATATTAGAGACATTAAACAGCCAACACCTGAACTGGGTTACTAAGAAGTTGTTTACTGGCAGAAATAAGTATTGTGATGGAAGGTACTGTAGAGTATTGAATAATTAAACACATTGAAAGAAACTTGTCCTATGGACAGCTTAGCTGTAGCAGGCTTTATAGTTATAATATTATTAGGAAACATAATGCAACTTGTAATGGGGCAGAATCTGGGATTCGAGGCAATGCCAGTATCACTAAAATACATTTTTTTTCTCCTTTAGACACTGGAGGAGGCAGAAGTAGCTATCCAGTTTTTTTACCAGGCTTGGGTTTTTCGTTGCCTGCTTGGGCCAAAGCTGCCCTTGGACTATCAGGCACCCTGCTCCTGACGCTGACGTGCGCCCTTACGATTCGCTGCTGCTGCCGTTGCTGCTCCTGCGGCTGCTGCTGCCGCTGCTGCTGTTGCTGCAGAAGAAAAAGAGGTGACTTTTTTTGTTCATTTAGATGTGTATATGCTTTTGAACCTTTGGTATAAGCAGTTGAAGTTAACAAACTCATCAGCTTTTTCAAAAGGTAGGTGAACAACAATATCACTTTCCCTCTGTTAGAATGCCATTATAAAAAAGACAAAAGATAACACGTGTTGGTGAAGATGTGGTTGGGAGTGTAAATTGTGACAGGCTTTATGGAAACAGTATGGTGGCTCCTCAAAAAATTAAAATAGAACTATCATATAATCCAGCAATCTCACTACTGGGCTATGTCCAAAAGAAATGACATCTTCATATTGAAGAGATATCTGCATTCCCATGTTCCTTACATCACTGATCACAATAGCCAAGATATGGAATCAACCTGCATAGATCAGTAGATAAATAGATAAAGAAAATGTGGTATACAGGCACAATGGACTACTAGTCAGCCTTCAGAAAGAAGACAGTCCTGTCCTTTGCTACACCCTAGAGAAACCTAAAGGACATTATTCTAACTGAAATAAACCAGACACAGAAAGACAAATATTGTATGATCTCGATTGTAGGTGGAATCTCAAACAGCCAAGCTCATAGAAACAGGAGGTAGAATGGTTGCCAGGGAGTGGGAATGGGGGCTGGGGAGATGTTGGTCAAAGGGTACAAAGTTTCAATTAGACACGAAAAATAAATTCTGTAGATCTGTTGTACAGCATGATGACTGCAATTAATTATAATGTATTGTGTACTTGAACATTGCTAATAGAATAGATCTTATTCTCACCACAAAATAGTGAATATGTGAGATGTAGATACATGAATTAGCTTGATTTAACCATTTTACAATGGGTACGTAGCTCAAAATACCACATTGTACATTGTAAATACATATAATTGTTATTTGTCAGTGCATTTTAATAAAGCTCAGATGAGACAACAACAATAAAATAAAAACCAAAACAAAAGATACATTGGCTTTAAGAGTTCTTGAAAGGGACAGTGGCAAATTGTTAGAGAAGAAAAGGACTTTTTTAAGGAAAAGGGTTGCTTCCTTGGGGCTTGATGCAACCCCTCAGGAAGACTCAGATCTTCATGCTCTTGAAAAGATGATTGAAGTAGCGCCTTTCTCATCAAAGACACTGATTATTGGATTTTTGTGTTTATATGTAAGGATATAGAACTATTACAATGTCATTTAGATGCTATGGTTTTTAGAATAGTATCTGCATATCCTAAGCACATTAAAAGTTTCCTTCCTATTTTGAAGAATTTTAAATCTCCCTTTGTAGGTGAATGTTGATAGAGTGGTAGAAAGAAAAATAAGATCTTCTAGTTAATAAAAAATAGTACCCATACAATTAATAAAAATAATTCCATATTTCTTTAGAATGAAGTTCTCTGAGATACTCCCACATTGTATGAAAGCACTAGCCTTGCTTGGGGTTGGGATCAAGGGTGGGGTGGGCACCTGAACACTGGGTGGGCTTGTCGTAGAATTAGGCAGTTTGTGACTTCAGAGGCCTATGGACGCTTTATCATGAGAATACTCAATGTGTGTACATCCTTACTTTTCTTCCTTTGGTTAAAAATGTCACTGTACTCCTATTTGAACATTTTCTTCAGTTAGATTATTTTTCTTAAGATCAGAGTTTTGATGTTAGCTTACATGCCAGTTGACCTACATTTTAAGTTTTATTAACACTAACTGCCACTCAATGTGTGTGTGTGTAACTTAGTGTGTGTGTGTGTGTGTGTGCCAGGCACTGTGCTAACTAACTCTTTTACATGGAGTATCTCACTAAAATGCATGGTCTAGCCTTAACTAAGCTAAGGTCTAGTCTTAGCTCCTCTATGAATCTGGTTTGTGATTGGGCGATTCACTCTGTAGTATAACTTAAAATAATTTCAGACACATGAATATTTTCTCATATTCCCTTCTTTCTTACATGAAAGGCAGGACACTACAGATATTCTTCTGCATGTCAATCCACGTCAGTTCATTGAGATTCTCTTCCTTTCTTATTACAGTTGCATGGTAATCCTGTTGTAGATGTACCATGGTTTATTCAACCATTCTCCAATATGTAAGCATTTAGATCATTTTCGGTATTTTGCAATTATAAGCAATGTTGCAATGAATAGTGTTGTGTATAGTCATATTTATGGAAGTGTAGCTTTTGGGTAGAATCTCAGGAGTAGGATTGCTAGGTCAAAAGCCAAGTGTTTATGTAGTTTTGTCATGGATTGCCCAACTTCCCTCCAGAAAGGTTGTACTATTTGCATGCTTACCAGCAACACTTGAGAATTCCCAATTCCCCACAGCCTGGCCAACAGGGTGTCACCATACTGTTTAGGTTATGCCAATCTGGAATGTAAGTAAATAAGAAATGGTATCTCAGCATAGTTTTGATTTCATCTTACTATAAGTGAGGTTGAACTACTATTCCATCTTTTTGTATGATTGAGAACAGTTTTTATAACTTGTCTATGTGTTTTGCTCATTCTTTTCTCTCTCAGATTTTTGGGCTTTTTACTTCCTCTAGTTTTAAGGGTTTCTTTTTATGTTAGGACTGATGGCCCCCTTTATCTGTGTTTTGAGTCATAGGAAGTCTTTTGTTATATAGCAGTTTTTTTTTTCTGGTGCTTATATTTTATATGGTTTTATTTATTTGTCTTTGTAGGTTTCATTCATTCTTCTGTGTGTATGTTGTATGAATCTAACTTTGTCTTCTTCCAAATGATGAAGCAGTTATCCCAGCAGCATTGACTGAAATCTCCATCTTTGGCTCGGGGTTTGGAATGCCACCTTTATCGTACATCGATTTCCATATGCACTTAGGTCTCTTTCTGGGCTCTCTATTCTGTTCCACTGGTCTGTTTGCCTATTCACGAACTTAGCACTGCGCTGTTTTAATTATAGAAGCTTTACAGTATGTTTTAATGTCTCTTACAGCAAGTCTGCCTTGTGGCTTTCTCTTTTAGTGTTCTCCTGGCTAGTTTAGCGTGTTTATTGTTAGAACTTGGTTATTTTTTAAAATTGTGGCAAAATCTACATAACATAACAATTTCCATTTTAACCATTTTTAGGTATACAGTTCAGTAGCAATAAATACATTTAGACTTTTGTGCAACCGTCACTATCATCCATCCACAGACCTAGGTTCATCTGGCAAAATAAACTCTGTATCTATCAAACAATAACTCCCTGTTCCCCTTTTCCCCCTGTCCCTGGCTACTTTCTACTTTCTACTACCATGATTCTACTTTCTATCTGTATAAATTTGACTACTCTAGGTATCTTATATAAGTGGAATAATGCAGTATTTGTCTTTTTAAAAGTGGGATACCGAGTGATATTTTGATATGTGTATACAATGTATCAATGATCAAATCAGGGTAATTGGCACATCTGTCATCTCAAACATTTATAATTTCTTTGTGTGGTGAACATTCAAAAGCTCCTCTTCCAGAATTTTGAAAACACAATACCTTATAGTTAACAATATTCACCTTACAGTGCTGCAGAACACTGAAACTTTTCCTCCTATCTAGCTGTAACTTTGTGTTCATTAGCCAGCTGTTAATGAACATACGATTCCACCATAAAACAGAAGAGCCCTGGAAAGCATTGTGTTAAGTGAAATAAATCAGGTAAAAAAAAAATTTTTTTTTGAGCACATTGAAGCGTAGATTATAATTTTGGGGGTTAGAGGCTGGGAAAGGGAGATAACATCTGATTCCAACAATTATAATCTCTGCTTCGATGTGTTCAAACTTTTTTTAGCTTCCACATGTGAGTGAGAACATGTAGTATTTATCTTTCCATGCCTGACTTATTTCACTTAACGCAATGCCCTCCAGGCTCATCCGTGTTGCTGTGAATGACATGATTTCATTCTGTTTTATGATGGGATAGTATTCCATTGTGTACGTGTGCCACATTTTCTTTATACACTCATCTGTGAATAGACATTTAGATTGATTGCATATCTGAGCTATTGTGAATAGTGCTGCAATAAACATGGGTGTGCAGATATCTCTTTGACATACTGATTTCAATTCTTTGGGATACCCAGATTGCCAGATTGTATGATAGCTCTATTTTTAGTTTGTTTTTTTTTTTAAACCTTCATACTGTTTTTCACAATGACTGTACTAATTCACATTTCCACCAGTAGAGTATAAGGGTTTCGATTTCTGTGCATTCTCACCAGCATTTTTATTTTTTGTCTTTTTGACAGTAGTCATTGTAACTAGGGTGAGATGATATCTCATTGTGTTTTTGATTTGCATTTCCCTGATAATTAGTGATGTTGAACATTCTCTCACACATCTATTGACCATTTACATGTCTAAGAAGACATTTAAATTGATACATGTCTGTTCAATTATTTACTCATTTTAAAATCAGATTTTTGGTTGTTGCTGCTGTTTGAGTTCCTTGTATGGGTCTGGATATTAATCCCCTATTGGATGAATAGTTTGCAAATATTTCCTCCCATTCTATAGATTATATTTTCACTGTTGATTGTTTCTTTTGCTGTGCAGAAGCTTTTCAGTTTAATTTAGTTATATTTATCTATTTTTCTTTTGGTTGCTGGTGATTTTGAAGACTTAGCCATAAAATCTTTGTCTAGGTCAGTGTCCTGAAGGATTTGTCCTGTGTTTTCTTCTAGCAGTTTTATAGTTTGGTGTCTTATATTTAATACTTTAAGTTTGAATTTGTTTTGTATCCACTGCGAGTTTGTTTTTTTATATGGTAAGAGAAGGGGTCTAATTTCATTTTTCTGTGTATGGATATCCAGTTTTCTCGGCCATATATTGAAGATGTAGCCTTTCCCCAATGTATGTTCTTGGCAACTTTGTAAAAAATCAGTTGGCTGTAAATATGTGGATTTATTCCTAGGTTCTCAATTCTGTTCCATCTGTGATATACCTTTATTCTCTGGGAAGCAGAAATTGAAAGGCAGTAAACTCCTGTTGGACCTAAATTTGATGGGAAATTGTTTTTACCTGGGAATTATTCCATGTGCCATAGATGGGTTAGTCAAAAGGAAGACACTGGATTTTAAAGGAAAACTACTAAATGACTTAGATTTTAATAGAGATGTTACAAGAGATTGCTCAGTACCTTCAGATCATTATTTCAAAGACGAGCTATGTGGAGTAGTGGGAGAAATTCTGGTTATTTGTACATCCTGGTCCCCTTCAGCTTTTGTCCATTTTATTCTAGTCTCATAAGAAGACTAACTAATGGTTGTTGGCCTACATGAGATAAGAAGGGTGTGATTTTTAGTTTCTTCATTTACGGAATGGGAATAAACACTATCCTATAGATTGGTTGTAATAATTAAATAAATTAATATCTTAAAAGTTTCTGTGATCCATCTTAGATTTAATATTTTCTTTAAGACTGGGGTTGGTGGCTCACACCAGTAATCCCAACACTTTGGGAGGCTAGGACAGGTGGATCACCTAATATCAGGAGTTCAAGGTCAGCATGATCAACATGGAGAAACCCCATCTCTACTAAAAATACAAAAAAAATCAGCCAGGTGTGGTGGTGCTTACCTGTAACCCCAGCTACTTGAGAGGCTGAGGCAGGAGAATTGCTTGAACCTGGGAGGCAGAAGTTGTGGTGAGCTGAGATCACACCACTGTACTCCAGCCTGGGCAATAAGAGTGAAACTTCGTCTCAAAAACAAAAAAGAAAAAAAATATTTTCTTTAACTTTGAGATGAAAAGTCCATATGTGAGTGAACTGTACCCCTCTCTGCCCATCCCATTCACAGTAAGTCCAGATAAGGCTATGAACAGGGCTGCCAAAGCCTACTTACAATGCCCACCTTCCCCACCAGGTGTGATTCACAATGGAAATTATACGATACCTTCACATAAGTGTGAAAGATGAGTAAAGGTCTGGATTTCTCCATGATGATTATTTCAATGCTTAAAAAATATTAAACATCAACATTTTTCAAAAAGTATTTTCTGGTTCTCTGCTAATACCCAGAGATTTCTCAGTAAGCTGACTGGTTAACTGAACACCCGGGTATGGCTGAGGTTCTAGTTAGCCTGGCCTGGGAGCCTTGGGATGGCAGCATTCTAGAGGGGCCCCAGGCTCCTTTCTTATAAATTGTCCTTACACTGGGGACGTTGGAGGCTTTCCCCTATTGCTGGAGGGCATTTGCCTATTACCTGATAGTCTCTTTCCTGCAATCCAGATAGAGTTGATTCAGTTTGGGATGTAAATTGGCAGCTGTTACTAGAACTGAAAACAAGTGAGAACGTTGTCTAAAAACTAAGGAAAATGAGTATTTAAAAAATCTTAGTCAAGCTTGATATGTAGAAGACCTGGATAAAAAAGCTTGGTTGTAAAGATCACAGGCTTTTGGGACAAAAGTCTGGGGACTCGACCTGTGGCTTTTTACTCCCCATCTTCAAATCCTGGTTTCTTTCTGGTCAGTCCATGGATCCATTGACTAAATCCATTGACTGAAAATATTAGCAATTTAATGACAGTGTTTTTTTTTTTTGGTGGGGGTGGGGGCACAACTGTATGAATTGATCCCTCTGGTATCTATTGACTGAAAATGTATCTTTGAATTAAAGAAATATGGTAATATTAATATATTAGTGTCTAGTCTGTTAAAAATATAATATCAATAACCCCTACTTTTGAGTTATTGTAACAGTTAAATGAGCTGATACTTTGTACAGAGCCTGCGTCACGCTGGCACACAGTAAGAACTAAATGAAGAGCGGCAATCACTGGTAACACAGAACATCTCTTTTTGGTAAATGGAGTCTTTCTTTCTTTCTTTTCTTTTTTTTTTTTTTTTGAGACGGAGTTTTGCTCTTGTTACCCAGGCTGGAGTGCAATGGCGCGATTTTGGCTCATCGCAACCTCCGCCTCCTGGGTTCAGGCAATTCTCCTTCCTCAGCCTCCTGAGTACCTGGGATTACAGGCATGCGCCACCATGCCCAGCTAATTTTTTGTGTTTTTAGTAGAGACGGGGTTTCACCATGTTGACCAGGATGGTCTCGATCTCTTGACCTTGTGATCCACCCACCTCAGCCTCCCAAAGTGCTGGGATTACAGGCTTGAGCCACCACGCCCGGCCGGTAAATGGAGTCTTTATAATCTCACTAATCAAATTCAATATTCACGAAGTAATAAGTAAATAACCTCTAAGTACCTGAAATATAGTAAGTACTGTACAGTCTATATTTCAGGTAGATAGAAGTTATTTATTTTTCTGGTAGTTAACAGTGAATTCTACTTTCCTATGCCTAGAAGTCACTTGATAATTTGGTGTGGGAAAACTTAATAATATCCTTTGGGTCACAAATACTAATGTTAGGTTGTTAAAATAAGGGAGCCTATGAAAATTAATGAGACTCAATTTTTAGAATAACTATCCTGATTCTTCTAATGTATTTTTTTTTTTTTTGCAGGAATTCGCATTCAATTTCAAAGAAGGTAAGTTTGAAAGCACATCTATTTTCTGAAAACAAAACAAAAAAACTGAACGACAACAATAATAACAATACATACACACCGCTGAGGGCTTTTCAGATTTATGTTGTTTAAAATGAAGTACTGAAAGTAGGCAGCACTGAAAAACACTGTATGCCAATCACAAACCCATAGGACAACATTAATTGCGGAGTGAAACAGGCGGGTTGCCACTGCCTACCTTTGACTTGCTCTGGTTCCTTAGGGAAACGGAGATTTTCTTAGTGTCTGGCATTTGCAACTCTTTCCACAAGAGGACACTGTGCACCAGGACTATCATCCTGCCTGCTTTGGGCAGAGGCGGGGGCCACCAGCAGAGGCCCTGCTGGGATTTGTGGGGGAGTGGAGAGCAGTGAGCCAAGCCGGATGCCTGCAAGGCACTTGAAACTATCCAGCCAGACAAATTAGGCAGTGTTTGGTGCTCATTCAGCCAAGGGGAGTGGACAGGACTGAAAAGTTCCTCTCATCCCCGGGCTGCCCAGCAGTAGCTGCAAGCACTTTTAAGGTAGCTATGTCAAGGACTTGGAATAAGTAGCCAGTAGCCCTTTTAAATGTCTGTAATATTAACACAGCCGTATGTGCACCAACGGGATGGTTTTTTAGACAGCCGTTGTTTGCTGTGGGTAATATAACAACACATGTAGTTATCGGTATTTTATTAGAATATTTACATTTTGAAGTGCTGAGATTCCACAATACGCTTTGGCCACATTCTGCGAATAAATGTGCGCCATCACCCTGTGGCAAACTCTATCCCTTCTCCCCCTGACCCCAGCCGTGGTGAAGGTTGGAGAGAGGATTCCACAAAGCAGCAATCTGAAACTATTCCCCCTTTGAGGCCTGACCTCGGGCAAGGAAAGAGGAAGAAAAACGGGCCCTGATAATTATTCTGGCATTTCTCTTGATTGCTACTACTGGCAGAAAGGAAGCCTGGACTCCTGGTTCACTGCTGTTGACTGCGCCAACACCTTCCATTTCTGTTCTCTGGGGTCTTAGGCGATTTCAAAGCACAGTAAAGTGAGCAGTAGCTACTCAGGATAACGGGTGGAGAATAACAGCAACCACAGAATAATGACACTGGGAGCACGAGAATAGCTAGTATACCTTGAGTGCCTAATGTCCACGCCAGGTACTCATGGCTCCACACTTTGTAAGGTTTTTTTTTTTTTGTTGTTGTTGTTAGAATGTGAACTGGGCGGACCTGCCTCAGGGTTTGGGCCCTTCATCTCTATGCAGCCCTTGAACTTAGGCCAGACTGCATTAGGCCCCAGAGGGACAATGGGGGCTGCTCACTGGATAATCCAATCCCACTTGCTTTCCTCTTTCATGATGTTCATGGTGCTAGCTCCAGCTGCTCAAGGACTTCTTTTGTATTGAAATAAATAAAATAAGATACATATATGTGTGTATTTGTGTATATATATACATATAGTTGTATGTTATAGAAAAAAATCAATGCATGCTTATTTTAGAAAAAATTAAATATAACGACAGGTTAAAAAAATCACCCACACTGCTATAGTTCTGAAGCAATTATTGTTAACTAAGTATGTATGTATCTACATGCTCAGGTGTTCATATATCCACTCATAGATGTGCACACAAAGCATTCTGTGAAATTTAAATCATAGTAAACTTTGAAAACTTGCTCTTTTCACTTACCCATTCTGAAGATTATTTCTGTTAACGAATGCTTGCCCACAGCATTTTTGTCTTGTTTGATAGTTTTAGGTAGAACTATATTGTAAGGGTGGAGAAGTGCACAAGTTACAGGTGTGTAGCTTGATCAGGTTTCACAAAAAGCACAAATGCCTGGGCTTGATGGCTGAAATTCACAGCCGGAACATCCTCATCATCCCTAAAGCCCCCTAGACCCTCCTCAAATTACTGCCTACCTCTCCTCCCCAAAGGTGACATTCTTCTGACATCTTGTCCACTTCCCCAGAGATCAGGTGCATATCAACTGTATATCAGTGGTATCATTTTCTGTATAGTCACTTATGTCTGCCTTTTTGAGCCTCTCACTCCGAGACTGATCCATACTGTGGCACGTGGGTGTCAGTGGCTTATTATTATGTAGTAATATTACATTTGGGGCACATATGGAATTTATTTTTACCTTTTGCTTTAAATGGGTGTTTGAATAGCCAGGTTGGGACCAATACGGACACTAGCTCTCTGGCCAGGCACAGTGGTTCACTCCTGTATTCCCAGCACTTTGGGAGGCTGAGGCGGGTGGATTCCTTGAGCCCAGGAGCTTGAGACCAACCTGAACAACATGGAAAAGCCCCATCTGCACAAAAAGTACAAAATTGGCCAGGCATGATGGCGCTTGCCTGTAGTCCCAGCTACTCAGGAGGCCGATGTGGGAGGATCACTTGAGCCCAGGAGGCAGAGGTTACAGTGAGCCAAGATCACACCATTGTACTCCAGCCTGGGTGACAGAATGAGACCTTGTCACAAAGAAACAACAACAAAGCAGTACCTACTCTGAGCATTCTCGTAGCCATCTTTTGGTGAACATAAGTACTCATTTCTCTTTGGTTCTGTGAGGAAATATAGTTGGCCCTCTGTATCTGCAGGTTCCACATTTGCTGATTCAACCAACTATGGGTCAAAAATATTTGAAAAAAATACAACGGTAAAAAATAATACAAAATAAAGAAGGAGTACAGTAGAACAACTATTTGCATAGCATTGACATTGTATTAGGTATTATAAATAATTTAGAGATGATTTAAAGTATGTGGGAGGATACACGTCGGTTATATGCATACGCAAATATAACGCCATTTTATATCAGAGACTTGAACATTCCCAAAGTTTGGTATCTGCAGGGCTCCTGGAATCAATCCCTAACAAAGACCAAGGGAGACTGTATCTAGTCCCAAAAACTGGGCAAGAAGGTCGCATATGTTCAGCTTTAGACGATGCCACATTTTTCCAGAGAAGATGTACCAGCGTACACTCCCACCAGCAGTGCGTGAGAGCGCTCATATGTAATAATTTTGACAGGCGGCGTGGAATTCCATTATAGAGAACTATCATTTATTTTACTGGCCCCTCTGCTTAGGCACTTGGTTGGTTGCAGTTTGCCTTTATAAGTAGCTCACGAATCGGCATTCTTTCAAGTACATATTTGCACATATCCTTGATTGTTTCCCTAGCATACATCCTTGGAGGTCAAGTATGACTATTTTGAATTCTTTGGCTATCCATTGCCAGACTTCCTTCCAGCCTCCAAACCCTAGGAGGCTGCACCAACCTTTGCTTTATTTCAGGAGTTGGCACAACTTTTACATAAAGGGCCACCTAGTAAATATTTTTAGTTTTGCCAGCCATATGGTCTCTGTCACAAGGACTCAACTCTGCTGTGACACCATGACTATGGCTACGTGTTTAGGTAGCCATAGACAATATGTGAGCTGACTGGTGTGGCCGTGTTCCAGTGAAACTTTATTTACAAAAACGGGATGGGTCAGATTTGGCCTGTGGGTCCTAAGTTTGCTGACTGTTGCTTTATTTGGTGAATGCTTTCTGAGAGTTGAGCACCAACTGGGGAGTGGGCCGCATGGGCCACGATAAACTTTCATCTCTCCCCATAATGGGAATGTGTGAATAGGCAGGCATCTATACCTGCCACACAGAAGCCAGCGACAGGGCTATAGGCTTCCTGTGTTAAGTTCAATGTGTAAACATACTCTTGAGTGTAACCATGTGAACCACGTAGGTATCCATTGCCAATTAACACTTGGCAATGTTAATGCCAACACTTAACATGAACATAAAATGGTCTAATTGCAGGAAATCTGAAAAAGAGAAGGAAAAAAAAGAAACGGAGACAAAAAGTGGAAATGAAAACCCTGACTACAGATCAGACGAACCAAAGACCACAGGTGAGTAGACATGAGGGGTGGTAGAAAGACCTGGAAAAGGGGGAGCTGGAAGAAGGGCTGGCTTGCTAGATGCCAGCTGCACAGGGAGGATAACTTAGCCATGGTGATTATTATTTTTTGGATAAATTTTAGAAGAAATTCTAGAATGAGGACTATTCTAGTAGGTTAACACTAAAAACCCACCTGTTTAATGCTTAAAGTGAGGAAGAACCCTGAAAGCTTTAAACGTTTTTGTTTTTTCCCCATGCTTTCTTTTTTTGTTTAAACCCCTCTACATTAAAATATGTTGGGGGTAACTTCCTCCCAATTTCAACTAGAGTCAAGTAAGAAATCTGTTCCCTTGGAATGTAACAGGCTGTTGGGGAATGCTGGAAAACTAGACCCCCTTTTGGAGAGTCTTGCTGTAGTATCTCATTTTCTTTCCATGAGACAATACAGAGTGATAATGGGGTGGGGGTACCTCTAAGTCAGACATCGCCAGGGAGCAGCAGCTCTCAAAATTTGAAAGTCGATGAGAGGAGAAGGCTGAACACACCCTCCTCTGCAGGATGAAGGAGACACCTGCCCTCATAGGCTACCAGGAAAACCAAATTCCATGGGAAGGTTTCCAGCCATTCAGTCCTTGCTGAGGGGCCTACACACCTTCTTTTTCCACTAAAATTGGGGCTCTACTTTTGGCAGCCCCATTTTTTTTTCATTTTACCATGGCTGCCTCCCATGTGTATTCCAGATTGCATTTTTCAGATTAAAAAAAATTCCAGAGAGCATGGACTATTTTATTTGATAATCTCACGACAGCTTCTTGCAGTTTCGTGTTAGTGAATATGTATTCATTAGTATTTTGAACAATTAATTATCTCAATGAAAATCATGGCCCAAATGGAACATCTCTGTCTCTTTTATCTCCATTTGTCTGGCATTTATTGTCCTTGATCAGCTACTGAAGCTTTAGATCATTTTGTCTCTGGGTGAAACTAATGTGTTGAGAAAGAAATTGATTTTGAGTTAGTTCTCCATATCTTTACTTCTTTGAAAAAATAAAGTTCTAAAGGTATGCGATCTCAAGGGGACTTAAAAAAAAGTGTTCATGGTGAAAGATTATGCCAGGGGTACTACTTAAAAGCAAATGTTTCTTTATAAATCAGAATTGTTAGACCACTTGGTTTTTGCCACTTAATACCCTAAAATTGTTCTTCTGTTGCAGAAATTGATTCTCTCCCTCCTAAATCCTGTGAATCCAGTGATCCTGGACAAAGAAGCAGTAGCTGTGGCCCCCCTCAACAGGTGATTTAGATCATTTTCCCCCCTTTTGGAGTTTTTTTTGCCATTTAAAAATTCTTACTCTGTGGTTGGTGATTATAAAATGGTGCACATTGTGTATTCATGATGGTAGCACTTTCCTCCCCTCCACATCAACTGGTCAATGTGGAGAAACGGGGCTGAGACATGGACTGTTCCTTGCTTTCAGTAGTGGTGGCTCCAGGATCAAGGCTGGTTTTGGGGAACAGCTCTGTGTTCACGTTTTGGGAGGATGTGACTTGATTTGGGACATACCCGTCTGAGTTGGCGTAAGAGTGAGCAGCATATATAATGTCCCATTTATTCTCTTCAAGCCACCTTCTCCCAGGTCTCAAGTCTGTTCTGCTCTCCTGGTTACCCGGCTCCCACGTGGTACTCCTCTGTACTTGGACCCTTGGGGTCTTTGGGCTCATAGAAGGATGTACTGGGTTTGAGGATCAGGACAGAGAAAATGTGATTTGCTCTGCATGCAAGTTCTATGCTGGTAAGCTTGAGGGCTGAAAAAATCTTGTTGGAGTTAGAATTTTAGTGGAGAGAGGATGAGTCCTTGATGATTAAGGAATACGGCCAGAACTGCTAAGAGGCTGGAGGTGCCATTGACTTAGATAAGGTATGTTATGGGTGGAGCAGATTAGCGGGGAAGCTCAGACGTCTACTTTGGAGCTTGTAGATTCTAAGACCTCTGTTAGATGTCCACATGGAGATGCTGAATGTGTGGTTACATTCACCAGTCTGCAGTTCCAGGGAGAGATACTAGCTGTAGATACTGGTTGGCTGCTTGGCAATGTTTTGTTGGGAGCTTCTTTTCATACGATGCTTCACTTAAAGAAAACAGTCAACTGGTAGCCCTGAGGACTTAGTATGTTAGTTTGCTGGTGCAGAGTCAACATTGGTTATCATACATGAATGAATTAGAGTTTGTTTTATATCCCAAATAATAAATTAGGTAGAATATTTGTAATCAACACCCTTTTCTGACCTGCGCAAATTCAACTGTGAACGAGAAGTATTTCAAGGCGATTCTGTGATCGTGTCCCTAACAAGTATAGATGTTATCTTCTTTTACCTTTTGGAAAAGGCAGACTTGCAGACTGGGTTTCAGATAGCATACTGGGCCAGGTGGGTTGGATTTGTTCTGCTAGGAGCTGCTTTACCTGAGGGGACGATGCCCAGCAGGTACCTGTGCAGCCTCCGATGTTTCTTTCTTGGCACAGGTTTTTACCTGAGTTTCCAGGCAGCTCTGGGCAATAACATTCCTCCCTGCAATTGGGATTCAGCTCAATAACATACATCTTGCCAGTGATGTGTGTTTTTCAAGCCTGTAGGGAGGAAGGGAGCTCTGATTGATGCTCAGTCATGTACTGGATAAACCTAAGTGATACCATTAATATTACTGTCAACATAGGTAGCCAGATAATAAGACATAGGAGGGGTCTGGGGCATAAAGGAAGCTGTGCCCAGCTAACAAATAGTTAGCTCCTGGTACAAGTTTCAATGACTTTCCTCAGGCTAGGTGTCAGGAAAATGGAGAGGTAATGATTTTTTCCATCAGGGCTGCTTGCATTTAATCTGGAGCTGGAAGGGATGATGATGCAACAGGTTTGCTTTAGATGGACCAGCCTCTGAGTAAAAGGTGGCTGTGGAAGGGAGTAATTGCTGGGTTGTGAGCGATGTTGCATGTCAGTTCTTCCATCACTGGGCCTGAGTGGGCATTGCAAGCTAGAGAAGGGGCATGGCTGGCTGCGGGGCTCTCTCCCACCCCAGCTCCAAGCACGGACACCCAAGAGCACATTTAAGCCAACCATGATTTCCACAGCCCTTCTGTGGTTATCTTTGTCTATCAAGTGTGTTTCTATCAGACAAGCCAGTGTTCAGCTATGAGGTTGTGGGGAGGGTGTAAGTTGGGAGAAGATTCAGAATAGGTCATGCCACATCATTCTGTTTGAAATACATCTAGTATGAATGAGGAGGAAGGGGAAAGCTAGGTGCATTTGGATATCCAAGTGGAGAATGACGTTTTGGAGCTCGGAGCGGATGCTTCTTTATGCTTGTAGCGTTCTTTTGAACATACACAGGGAGAGAAACTTAAGAGGTTTCTGCTACTGAAACATGTACCCAGCTAAATAATCTATTGGTGGAAAAAGAACAGTGACCCTCGAGGTGCTGAGCCCTGGGGACTGGTAACGTATACTCCCGTTTCTTATTTCCTGAAAGGTTTGTCGTCTTCTAGGGGAGCCAGTCACCTCATCAGAGAGCACCCAGGCGCTTAAGAAACAAATCAGGACTCTAGGAAGATGAATTATCTTGGCCTGGGCTAGAAACTAGTGAGGCTTATTAAATAACTGGCTCTTTCTACGCGTAGTGTGCCTGAGTAACAAATCGTTAGCTTCTGGTACAAGTTCCAGTGACTTTCCTCCGGCTGGGTGTCAGGAAAATGGAAAGGTAATGCTTTTTTCCATTTAGGACAAAGGATTTAGGACATTTGGGATTTAGGACAAAGTCCTAAACAAGAGGTCTATCTTTGATTATGACAAAGGAGGGACTTTGCAGTCGTGGGCCCAGACAGCGCCTCCAGGTTGCGCATTTGGAGAACCTGGATGCAGGATTACCATGGCTGTGTTTCCCGGGAAGCACTTAGAGAAGGAATGAGCAAAATGAGCCACAGGGGAAAGGCTGGGCCTGGGCACACAACAGTTCCCTTCCGTTTGCTTGGTTCAAAGAAGACATAGACCCTGCTGTTGTCAACTGGCCACTTGAGAGCTGCCAGAATGGCCAAGCCACAGCTTGTAGGAGCAGTCAAGGTGACCTTGGCACAGAGTTTCTTTTCAAGACTTCCCCAGAAGAGACCCTTCAGCCCTGCCAGGTCTCTGTCACCAGGTTCATGCTGTGTGGGCTGATGAGGAGCTCTGAGTTCTGAATTCCTTGGTCCAAGGTGTGAAGACAATGCAATGTGTGCCTTCTTTTCTCAAAACTTTTCTCCATTCTGCAATAAGCCTTGTTCCTTGTAGGGCCTAGGAGAGGCAGCTGAGAGCGATTCAGAGCCCCATCTCAGTATTCCTTTCATCCCCGGCTCCACAGGCCTCAGTATGGCTCCAATTTGTCAGAGTCTCCTGCACCGCTGCTGGATGTTCTGCACACACAGGCCTCTCAGGCCCAGAGCTGGTGCCCAGCAGGGCTCCTGTGTGAGAAGCTGGCTTGTTAGAGTTCAGGATTGTTGACTACAGATTGCACTATTTTGCAGAAACCCCGCATGAAGCTCAGGTCCTGAAAAGCCTGTAGATTAGACTAAAAGATCTCAAACTGTGAGCCAGCCTGAAGCAAACGCTTTTCCGATCGTGGTTGCTGAAGAGCTAGTTGGGTCAGATAAATGGCCTGTCCGTGGAGATGTGGCACACTCAACGGCTGCTAAAGCTGCTGCTTTGTTTTCATAGATCGCAGAGCAGGATAGTCTTGGTTTTGTGAACAGGACGGCGACTGCTGATCACAGACACTCGCTCTCTGTTCATGCTGTATTCTCTGCTGAAACTAGTGAACTGTTTACACTCAGCATTTTCAGGAGGTCTTAACTAACGGTTGACTGTTGACTACACACAGGCTAGTCCAGCATTTCTAGGTGCTCAGTAAACAGTTACTCATTAGAGTGGAGAATACCTTCCATGCCCAGCATTACGCTGTCACAAGCAAGATGCTATAAGGTCCATGGATGTTCAGATAAACAAAGTTCCTTTGCTTTTTTTAAACTTTCGGATGGAGTTTTGTACTGTCGCCCAAGCTAAAGTGCGGTGGCAGTGGGGCGATCTCAGCTCACTGCAAACTCCGCCTCCCGGGTTCAAGTGATTCTCCTGCCTCAGCATCCCGAGTAGCTGGGATTATAGGCACCTGCCAGCATGCCCAGCTAATTTTTGTATTTTTAATAGAGATGAGGTTTCACCATATGGGCCAGGATGGTCTCAAACTCTTGACCTCAGATGGTCTATCCGCCTCAGCCTTCCAAAGTGCTGATATTACAGGCATGAGCCACTGTGCCTGGCCTTTTAAAAAAAACCTTGAGGCATGGTCTTTGTTGCCCAGGATGAAGTACACTGGCACCATCATAACTCATTGTAACCTCATATTCCTGGGGCTCAAGGGATCCTCCTGCCCTGGCTTTCCAAAGAGCTAGGACTACAGGCATTTGCTGCCATACCTGGCTAATTTTATTTATTTATTTATTTTTGTAGGGATCGGGGGGTGGTGTCTGATATATTTGCCCAGGGTGTTCTTACACTCTTGGCCTAAGCGATCCTCCACATTGGCCTCCCAGAGCACTGGGATTATGGGCATGAGCCACTGCACCTGACCCCAGCTTCCTTTGCTCTGAATCCCAATCAGCTGTGACAAAAACATGGTTAGATCACTACAGATGAATGTTCAACCTAAAATAACATCGTGTTTTGGGTCATTGAGAAAAGTTACATAATTTCATATGAAACTACCATTCCACTCCTTTGTGATGGGGGCACTTTGGTTTTCTTCAGGGCCCCATTGCTTAAATATACCCCCAGGATGGGGAAATCTGACATGCCAGGGTTGGCCCACAGAAGTCACTGATGAGGCCCTTGGGAAGTCCAGATTCACGGTCCTCACCTCTAGACATCAGGACTCGAGTGTTGAGGCAATGCTTAAGCAGCTCTGCCTTTTAGGACAACTTGATGTGGCTAGGCTTATGAGTTACTGATTACCTTACAGCAAGAGGGGAACCAGGAGTTTTGGAAAGGAAAGAGTGGCAGGTCCCCCAGCAGCAGTCTGCCACCTTCATAACTTTACCTGCCCGACGGGTACTCAGCAATTCCGCTTTCTTGGCATCCTAGGCCTTCATACTAGCCTGTGCTAACCCACCTGGAGGGAGCGCTACTGGGGTTGAAGGTGCCGATGCTCTTGCCCCCTCTGCCGGGAGTCAGCTGTAGTTCTGCAAGGAGAGGAGTGTCTGGACCCTGGGTCCGGAGTCTGGGTGGCACCCAGCGCAGGTGGGGGACGGCGTTAGGCAGAGCAGCAGGTTTCCAGGTTACTTGTGCCCTCACCTTCAATGTCACAACCCTTCATCTCTTCTTCCCGAGTGGTACACATCTGTGTCTATATCTCAAGCTTCCGTGGGTCTCTGCATATGGCATCTTTGTGGTGAATCACCCAGCTCAACTTAATAACATCCAACAGTTACTAAAACAGGAAACTAGAACTTTAATGTTTTAGGAAAGGGCAGAGAACCCCATTTTCTGCTGCCCCAGCCTCCCATAGCTCCTGCCCCTTTGGCATCCTTTCGGTTAAGGTCCAGCATGCCACGAGTACACACTGCCGTGGAGACCAGCAAAGATGAGATGCAGTGGTGAAATCTTTTTTCAAACTCTTTAGTTATCTCCCAATGTTTTCAGTGCCGGGAGTCCTTAGAAAACCTCAGAAGGGTGGGGGAATGTCTCAGGAGCGGTGTCACTGGGGGACAAACTGGGGGCTAGAGTTTTGACCCAGCAAAGGCCAGACACTGTGGCCAGGAGCTATGGGGACAACTGCGGATAGACGGGTTCCTCAGGAGGATGCTGGATTGTAGGCAATGGAAAGAGGCACCAGTTCCTAGACCTCTTGGTCCCCAGGCTGCCTGGAGCTCCCTCTTCTGCTCATCTCCATCTCTAAGCCCCCTCTCCTGCCAAGTTCTTCCCTGAATATGGGACTTTCTGATCAAGAAACGGGGCAGTCCTAGTTCCTGCCGCCACCTGGCAGAAATGGTGGATGTACTTCCTGAGTTCTCTATTCCGGTTTTCCCAAAGAACGCTTGCTGAGTATGGAGGTGCACCCAGCGCCTATAAATACCTCTGCCTTGGTACCCTGCTGGCATAGCAGCAGCTCTCAGTACAGCCCTGTGCCAGGAGCACACTGGGTTCTTGTTAAAATGCACACTCTTGGGCCTCTGCCAGACTTTCTGGATCAGAATGTCTGGGAGAGAGGGCCAAAGAATCAGTATTTTTATCACATTCTCCAGGTGATCTGCTTTGAGGAATTTTCTTGTCCCAGTGTGAAGACACCACAGACATGTATAGCATTGTTTCTAAGGGAGTGCGTTCCCTGATTTCTAGAAGTCTTCTTCCTACGACTGTGCATTTAGAATTACATGTACCTGGTGTCTCTGCTCCACTGACTTTGCTGCAAAGCACAGAGAGGAGTTTGAGATGCTTATGGTGGTGCCGTGATGAAAGGCAAGTGAAGGGTCTTGACACCAAATGCTCCACTGTCCACATGGCACCCTGCCAGGGACACTCTTATGTAAACCTCCCATACTTTAGACAGAGTCTAAAGCACACTGCATTCAACATAAATGAAAAAATAGGATCCTAGACCGTAGAGAGCTTGATCATGCATTAAACTGTAAGAAGGGTCAGAAGGAAAAGGAGAGACTGACTTTCCAAACTGACGTATACAATATGACACTTTTCTTCTCTGATTATTTCTCTGATGACTCAATCTACAGGTAGAATATGTAGTACTGACATTGTTTTCTAGACAAGAGTTTCCCTGTCGGTGAAATATAATAAATTTGGGTGTCACTGCAGCTCAAATATGTGAGGGTAAAAGTAATAAGTAAAATTAGAAATTCTCACTCAAATTTACAGTCAGTTACTGGGAAAGGCATGCTTTTAAAATTTTTATATGGAGCCAGGGGATTTGCAAATGTTTTGTATCTTGGTGAACAGTTAAAACAAAGAAGCCTCCTTTTCCTCCCCTCGTCCTGTGCCTTACCTCACTGTCGGTGCTTGTTTTAGGCAATTCTCTGTCTCTGTCATTTTTGGAAGGTGGGCATATGAACAAACTTGAAACCTGGATTAAGTCTTCCCCACAAGTCACCCCTTCATTGAGATAAACAGAAATACATGCTTGATAAATTTAGAAAACAGCGACGTTTGCACAACCCAGCAGTGAAAACGAAAGCCAACAACAGTAAAAGTCTCTAGTATGTTCGTGGAAGAAGGCACAAATCTCACAGCATTGCTGACGTAGTTTCATCCACTGTCCAGTTTTCCCTGTGTTATTGGGAGTCAACAAATTAAAAGCATGAGCCAGAGTAATTCTATCCTCAAGACTTACTAGCATGCCATCGCAATGTGAATAATTCATCGCTCCCGGTTACATTATTTAAGATGTTAAATGCAGCTACTGTGCCCTGGAACCTGAGCTGCCACTCTCAGGACTGGCAGGAAAAACGCGTTGCACACATTTTAATAGGGCAATGTTATTAGACAGGCATTGGCCACTCTGGAGGATTAAATAGTTTGTTTGAGATTACATTTCTGAATGAGAACAGGGATGACTGTGTTTCTCCCTGATAGGGAAAGGGAACAGATGGCTGATCTGTCTGGAGTCACTTCTTCAAGTTTGTCCCCCTCCTCTAGAAGCAATGCATGCACTTTAAGAAGTTTAAAAATATTTTGTATTTTCATAAAAAATTTAGCCAGCAAAGCAAGAACTTCCATAGGAAAATTGAAAAACAAAACAAAACAATAAATCATTGTGGTAATTTGCCTTAATAAAAACAAATACTGATTCTTGGAATTGGATTGCTCTTTAGGGCCTGAACTCGGAAAACTTCTATATTGTGTGTTATTGGAAATAATGAAAGAAAGGAAGAGCTTATTTTAAGATTTCTGTTCTTCCCTGCACCTTACTTTTATCTTAACAGATGAGTGAAGCTTCCTTTTCAAGTGTACCTTTTACAGTCATCTCAACCCATTAAATTGACTTTTTTCCTCCTCTGTTGCCAGGAGGCTGATCAATGTCTGCCCAGGCCAGCAAATCACCCACAGGCTTCTTTTAATCTGGCCAGTCCTAAGGAGTTCAGGAATGCAACTTTAGTACAGCAAAGACTTCCCTAAGCTACTCTGAACACTTCACTGACAATTTACAACATGGTGACGGCATCCTTCCTTTTCATCCTGAGACTGGCCCGCGGCTCTGCCAACATTACCTGAACAGGAGATGTCGGAGTCATCAGAACTGATACTTGACAGTGAGAGAAGGAATTGATTTTCCCAGATTTCAAAGTAGAATGTGACTTTTAAAAGGTTTCAAGGTTTCTGTGAATTCCATGAAGTTACTAAGTAAAAGTTGCAAATTCATCATAATTTTTCTCGACACTCAACACTCCCACTTGTTAATCCAACAAACGGTAGATAAAATTCTGCATTCTACCATAACTTTAAAAAGTTTTGATTATCTTAAAGCATATGAAGATGATATTTGTATATATTTAATATGCAGGGGTATTACTACATATTAACAGTGAAATGTGAGTATTAAAAATGAGGGTCAACCAGAAGTCTACAGTTGACTCTCAAAACTGAGCTCAGTTAAAATAAGATTCAGTCCTAATATGGAGATGCATGTTCCTTAATATCTCACGAAGTATTTACATGAAGACATTCACTTTTATCTGTCCCTTATCAGACTTATTTGAACCTCCTCAAATGAATTGCATGTGACTTGTGCTCTGTAGAGGGTGGACCTCACCTACTATGCATACCATGAAAAACTGGAAATGGGCATTGTAGTCTTTAATTAATAAAAAGGAAAGCACCAAAAAATGTGTATTGCCTTTCTTAACTCGTCACTCTTCAGGTGGTAGTTTAAAGAAGCACTGTTCAGGAATCAAGCCTTTTCCAAGAAGAAAACAAGAGCCTTTGGTTAAAACCCATCCCATCTTCACATTTATCTTTGCTGACTGTACATTCACTTCATCTAAAATTAACATGGATATTGTTATGATGAATGAATTGCTGCCTTTCCCAAATATTTTTTTTCCATGTAGATACAGTCAGTGAATTTCACTGCCCATTTTACCCCTTCATATTTAACCTAGAGGCAAGACTGTGATTTGACTGTGCTCTGAACTGATTGGTGCAGATTTCTATGCTGGTTATAATTAGCAACAGCTCTGAGCCCTTCAAGCGCAACCATGCTATTGCTAAAGCAGAATTTAACTTTTAAAATGTGTCAGGATTTTAGTGAATTCCTTACAAATATTTAGTAATAGTTGCAAATTTGTCATGATGTTTCTCATCATTCACTCCTGCTAGCTAATCCAATAAATGGTAGTCTTACACTACCATGATTTATAAAATACTTTAATGATCTTAAATCAGTTTCAGCCCCTACCCAGGACCTTCCTATAAATAAAAAACTAAGTGAAGGAGTGTATTCATCTGTTCTCATGCTGCTAATAGAGACGCACCCCAGACTGGGTAATTTTATAAAGAAAAAGAGGTTTAATGGACTCATGGTTCCACATTGCTGAGGAGGTCTCACAATCATAGTGGAAAGTGAAGGAGGTGCAAAGGCACGTCTTACATGGTGGCAGGCAAGAGGGAACTGCCCTTTATAAAACCATCAGATCTCATGAGACTTATTCAGTATCATGAGAACAGCACAGGAAAACCCATCCCTGTAATTCAGTTACCTATCACTGTGTTCCTCCCACAACATGTGCGGAGATGAGTTTTGGGTGGGGAAACAGCTAAACCATATCAAGGGGTATTTTCTGGCACCCTGTGGAGCCAGGCATATGTTTTGATTGGGTGATGCTCATACTGTATTCATTCTGAGTGGTCAGTGCCCATACAATATCAATTCTAACTGGGTAGTGTTCATGCCTTACAGGTTGTCATCTATTTTGAATATCATCTCTGCTTAGGGGATCCTGAAAAAAAAAAAAAAAAAAAAAAAAGGTCATCTCTTCTAGGACCATGTTCCTAATGTGAGATAATTGGCTACTTATATTTTTGGAAGTAGAATTGAAATGCAAAATCTCAAAAACCCATAAATATTGCTACATCATATTCCCAAGAGTCTTTTCAAGGGAAAAAATTGCCAATTCAACTGGTTAAAAATGGGACTCATTTAGTGTACTCATTTCTTTATTCGCTGCCAATGTGGTTCTGTTTCTCCACCACACTCCTGGAATGAATACAAGGAGAAGTGAAAGACAAGAAGGTTCTTGAGTCTCTTTAGGAAGAGCTACAGGGTGAATGCCATACTCTTCACTTAAGAGTTTATGCTCCTTAAACCACCACAGAATTCGGATCCTAAGATAAGGCAAATGCCATGTCATTTATGCCTTTTGTAACTTTTACAGCACCTGATACACTGCAAGTGTTCAGTAAATACCGACAACAAACAGGTCAATATTAAGAAAGGCTACATATTAAATGCAAAAAATTTTGTCGTTTGCTTGCTGTAAGAATAATATTTGTGGGAATTTTGAGAGTCAAGGGGTTGCATATAAAATATAATTGAAATTTAAGTTTTGAAATCTGGCAAATCATTTCCATAGAAGTTCCTCCAACTTACTATGTGCTTATGAGTCACACTCAAAATACGTTTTCATTTATTAGATTATGGGATTTTTGTGTGTGATATCACTTATGAATAAGTTCTTCCTACTGAATCTTACTCCAGGAGTAAGGCTTCTCAAAGAGACGCCCTGGCCAGTGTGTATTTCACATTAGGTAGATACATTATTTGAACAGAACTATCTAGAGCTGCCCTGTCCAATACTGTAGCCACACGGGGCTATTTAAATTTACATTATTTAAACTAAATAAAATATAAGATTCATTTTCTTGGTTGCACTGGCCACACTGCAAGGGTTCAGTAGCTCTGTGTGGCCAGTGGCTACTTTATCGGACAATGCAGATGGAATTGGTGGGTTTCCATTGTTGCAGTAAGTTCTGCAGGAGTGCTCATCTAGAGATAGCTACTTGGAAATGACCTTGATGTGTCAAGCATGGACTCTTTTACATAAACACACAATCTGTGTTTTCTTCAGCATTATGTCTGTGCACTCAGCCAGTTTCTATTTAGGAATCCTGCAACACCCAAGGCAGTTCTCAACTGAATGTGGCGTTTTGCTGAAGTGGTGAATTCTTATCTCACTTCTGCAATGCAGAGAGAGCTGTGGCAGACTCAGGAGGGTGGGATGAGAGGAGTCAATCAAAGCAAAACATCATGGTCAAGGTTGTTTCTCAGGGAGATGCAGCTCTCTGCTAATAAATAGGCGATGAAGGCTGCAAGTTTATCTAAAGAAATATCCCTCAAAGCTTTATGCCATAAAACCCTAGCCAGGGAAAGCATACCTGCCCATCCCTCCCAGCCGTCTTTTACTTTGGTTGGTCTGTCAGATTCCAAGGCATGCAGCCAAGGCTCTTCCATAGTTCACTCAGAGTAGGACCTAAGTGGTAATGGCAGTACCTTGAAGACAATGGAGAGCTTGAGAGCTTCTCCTGCTCTGTGTGGCCCTGACCTGGAAAACTGTTAGGGATGCTAAAGTTTGGTTGCACATTGCTAAGAGTTTAATGACATAAAAAGGTCAATGGATGAGGCTGGGCACGGTGGCTCATGCCTGTAATCCTAGTACTTTAGGAGGCCAAAGTGGCAGATTGCTTGAGGCCAGGAGGTGGACATTAGCCTGGGCAACCTGGCAAAACCCCATCTCTACTAAAAATACTTAGCCACGTATGGTGGCGCATTCCTGCAGTTCCAGCTACTCGGGAGGCTGAGGCACAAGAATTTTTTGAACCCGGGCAGTGGAGGTTGTAGTGAGCTGAGACTGCACTATTGCACTCCAGCCTGTGCAACAGAGTGAGACTTCATCTCAAAAAAATTTTAAAAAATGGTCGCCGGGCGCGGTGGCTCAAGCCTGTAATCCCAGCGCTTTGGGAGGCCGAGGCGGGCGGATCACAGGGTCAAGAGATCGAGACCATCCTGGTCAACATGGTGAAACCCCGTCTCTACTAAAAATACAAAAAATTAGCTGGGCATGGTGGCACGTGCCTGTAATCCCAGCTACTCAGGAGGCTGAGGCAGGAGAATTGCCTGAGCCCAGGAGGCGGAGGTTGTGGTGAGCCGAGATTGCGCCATTGCTCTCCAGCCTGGGTAACAAGAGCGAAACTCCGTCTCAAAAAAAAAAAAAAATGGTCAAGGGATGGTTCAGAGCAAACCAAGAGATGCCATACCGGTACCGGAACCTGTACCTGTCATCAAAGAGCTTATTGATATCTTTGGGGAAGAACACTATCCTGTGTAAAGATAAAGGATGGTCCTCTCTGCGGGACAGATGAGAACTTGAAGAGTTCAGAGATTGGAGAATCAGGTGAGAGCAGGACAGGAAGCGAGGGTTCAAGGGAAGATAGTGTGAGGTGAAGGTCTTGATAGGCAGGTGGTTCAGCAAGCCAGGGCCATTCCTGTAGGCCTGAGGAGCTGTTGCCATCCACTGGACCAAGAGGGCAGGGAGAGATTGATGGAGCGGTGTGGAGAGGGTGTCTGGCTGCTGCCATGGCCACACCCTGAAAACCTGGCAGGGAGGGAGTCAGAGTGACAGGGATCCAGCCATCCACTCTCTCTTTTTGGTCTCCTGCTCACACCTACCCAACCAGAGCCAGAGGTCCTGGAGCCCATCAGTGTGGTCCATAGGGGTGAGTCTCCTGAGGGGACTGTGCTGGATGCAGAAGGTGGGAGGGGCAGGCAGAGCATTTAGCAAGGAGAAATTGATGAATGGAGAATGTAAAGGAGAGGAGAGGAGAATTAATGGTGCATGTAAAGTCAGAAGGAGGGCGTTTTGCCTGGTAGCGCTCCACTGCTTACCTTCCTTAGGAATGAAGACATTTACTGAGAAAGGTGTATGGGCCAAGAGCTCTGCTCACTGAAAATTTACTGAAAGTCATTGACAGGTTGCAGGCGGGTAGGAGAAAAGGCATACAAGTTTATTTAAGGTGTGTACAAGGGAGCCTTCAGAATGAAGACCCAAAGAGGCAGGGGAAATTGTTTTTATGCTTAGATTTAACAAAGTATGGACAGCCATGCAAAAATATGATTGGACGCAAAGGGCAAAACTTAATGCTAATAGACTGAGTGGGGAAATCCAGCATGACCTGTCTGTCTAGATTCTTCTTGGCTTCTCTGAGTATCATTCCTTCCTACTGGGTGTGGGGCAGGACTCACTCTGGAATGGGAATCTTATGATCTGTGGCCAAGCAAGATAGGTCAGATGATTTCTTCACATCCAGTTTTTACGTAGAACATGTTTAAGTTTTATGGCTGGCTTTAGAGAAAAAAAGTTCTAGTTTCTGTGGCCTGCCTTGGGAGAGAGGGACTGTATTTTTAGCTAGCCTTGGGAAAGAATGCAACCGACAGACAAAGGGGAGGAGAAGATCAAATAAACACTTTTGCCTCTGAGGTCTTTACTTTGGGGTATTATTTTCTGAGCCCCAGCAGAGAGTATCATTGGAAGGAAAGGAATCTGGCTGCATTGAACTCAAGTAGCTCCCATGTTTGGTGCCCAGTTTCATCTCAGTAGAGCAAGGGGATTGGATGGCGGGCCCTTGAAGTCCCTTCTGCCACTTATCTTCATAGAGATGTTGACACACACACACACACACACACACACACACACACACACAGAGACAGATACACTCGTCCTCACCTGACATGACCCAGCTGTTAGGACTGAGGCTGCGCTGTCTGAATGCGTGCAAGCATCTCTTGTCCCTGCCATACTGGGAGGGAACTGTGTTTTTACGGATGGTAAATATTTA